GTTTTTGGCATAACTGTGAAAGCTGTCGAATAATTCTTCCCTTTGAGCCCGAAATTACTACACACACACACAAACACACACACACACACACACACCCCCACACACACACACTCGCACTGTGGCATTCAGCTATATTATACACAGTTGTAGCGAGCGTGCCTCCATACCCACTCCCACACCTACTCAGAAACAGACACTTACACAGACACACACAAACAAACAAAGAAACACAGATAATTATATAGGTGCAAATACCCATACAAAATACGCCCCGGTAAGGACACTTAATATAAATAAAAATGCACAATAAAGGCGTTCATTCAGCGTTAACCTGTCTGGAGAATCACTCCTTTCCCTTCAAGGCCATTTCTTCTGGTAGAGTAAATACAATTATTTACTCATTACGCATCAATTTGGAAATGGCAAAGCACCTTGGAATAGACTCTACCCTGAGGCGAGACATCAGCGAATCATGCTCAGCATTGTTTGTCTGGAACATCATCAGCCTTATCAATGATTCAGCCCAAGGTTTACATGGAAAGGGTGCTAATGACAGTAATTATATTATGTGTTTTACAGCCTTCCTTAAAAAAATGGTAAACTTTTCAAATGACATAATCGTAAGATCATTCTACAATACCTAATACACATGATATACGTGTACATTTAATATACGTATACTTGTTGCTGTCACGTGTATTTTGCTGTTGTGTATGCGCTTATTCGTTTTGGTTTTGTTTGGGTTATAGTTATAAACAAGGACCTTGAGTATAAAATAGGTATTATTCAAATATTATGATTCTTTGAAAATGTATTTGCGTCAGAGACATGATTATTGATGCTTCTGCTTGAGGAGTCCATAAACGTGTCACATCATCAAATAAAACAGGTGGAATCGGTATCCTAGTGCTTAGGTTTCCGGGTCAGTAATTGTGAAATTTCAGGGTTCCAGGTTAGAGCCTCAGTTTGGTCCGAAGTTGTGTCTTTAGAGAAAGGCACTTTATATGAATGACTTATTTTGCTCAGTCCTTTCGGAGATGGATGTTCGACTCAGAGGTCCTGCCTCTTAAATACCCTAATAGTTTTGATAGGGATGTCAAATCTATATCATTTCACATTTCACATTTTAAAGTAAAACAGCATAGAATCACATCAATCTATGCTCACATCACACACATACACACACACACACACACACACACACACACACACACACACACACACACACACACACACACATAATGGAGGCATGGAGCTCAAACCCCTTGACAAAGTCTGAAAAAGGCCAGCAGTAGCCAGTGGAGTGAGCATCGATGAGCGCCAGGGTGTATGCGTGTGTGAGAGGGGACAAGGGGAGTGACTCTCCCAGTCACGTGAGACGAAGAGACGAAGGAAGTCCCTGGTGAGGCTCGCGTGCCGCGACAGAGAGGATATTGGCAGACCGCGCTAGTCGACTCACTCGCCACCCAGAGCGGATAGCAGCCGTCTCTCGCCTACAGACCTTCGCTTTGTTGTTGTTTATTCGTTCGTGACATCTCGGGGTACCGTCATCAGTGTGGAGCTCAGATTCGGAACAAAATTGACAACTTGTGATTTGTTTTAGTTCAAATATTTTGTTTATCAGTAATAATTTTGTTTTCTTTAAATAAATATGTGAAGTCGGATTCTGTGAGTGTGAAAATTCGAAAAGCAAACTGTGCTGCATTCTTTTTCCCTTGGCCTGACGTATGACTTTCGGAAGAAACGCTTTTGAAGTGTTGTTTTTCCCAAAACAACTTTTCTTTCGCTGTTGGAGGATTACTAAACTAATGCGCACGAGTGGCTTTTGATGACCTTTACAACAGTGGAATAGCTGAAACTGTTATAAGCATCAGTGATAACATTTCTTGTATGTACTCACCCCGTTCAAAATGACTGCTTGTTTACTCAGCGTATTTTCAGATTACTTGAAACTTGTATTATGTGAGCAAACGTTTCCTTTTATGTTTCTCAGATAAGTGGAACGTTCTGAACAGAGGACAGACGTATACTTGCGTTCTTCATTAAAACTCGAGTCTTTCGGGGGATTTCCTTTTGTGGCGTCATTTGTACTGGACTAAACTATAAGGTTAGTAAAACTTTGTTTGCCTATTTCTTTCTTGAATCGAAGTTGTAGAGAGAATTGAAAACTGAAGATTGTTTAATGTCACTCCTTGCATGAAGTGAGCGTCCACCTGTTGTTTTTATTTTGTTTTTAAAATGGCACTGCGCTATTGAGAAAACTATTGTGTGAGCCCACATAACTGAATATAGAGTGGTAGGCCGTCGTATAGAGACTAAATATTTGCATGGGAATATACACTAAGAATGTAAATAAGCCAACAGAAATGTTGAAAAGGGAATAGTTTGGGAATGTCCTTCATTGATATACTATGTAATTTATACTATATACTTTGTCAGCGTTTGTCTGAGTGTGTGTGTGTGTGTGTGTGTGTGTGTGTGTGTG